TGTGCCCGCCGGGTAGGACAGAGCCCGTGCTCGGCTTGCGGGAAGGTGTAGAGCTTCGCGACGGGGAAAAACCCCAAACCCTTTTTTGGTCTGAGGGAGGTAAACCAGGGAAAATACAGAGAGCAAACTCCTGTATCCTCTGCGACGCGTTTGATAAATGATGTAACCGTGCGCTGTTCTCTCGCTTGTTCGCACTGGTTTGGGTCACGCTGATTTTAAACACCACGTGGTTCAACCCACTTTACACATGGGACCGTGTTGTGAACTACCGAGGGTTTTCAGCAGCGTTTTGCTGAGGGTTTGAAAAAGGAGAGGCCAGGAATGTCCATGGGCTCTGCTAATGCTGCCATCAGTGTCCTGGTTTCCTTCATGTGTTTTAGGAATATGTCCTCGGCCCCTCCCTGCTCTCGTGGCGCTTCCCCTCCCCACGTGGATGTGGGATTTGTTGTGGATGAAACCTGGTGTGTGCTCTGATACCAAACTCACCTCTGTGAAAAGCTTAGTTTGGGATGGCCTTGGTTTTATGGTAGCAGGAGGTGACTGAGGTGGGGAAGTCAGTAATGCCTTGGTGGGGTTTTTTTACTGTTCTCATTCCAATGTGATAGCTCAGGACACTTTATTTTTTTTTTAATACATAAATACCCTGTAGTCTGAGTCATGTTAGCAAAGCCAAGACACCAAGACTGCATTTCGTCACCCCCTGGAGCACTGCCTTTAATACTATCCCTTGTAGGCTCAGCCTAGAGTTCAGCTCTCTGGAGCTGCTCTGCAAGGTGCTGTGTTTACATCAATTCAGAAATGCAGACTGACTTCAGAGTAAAAAAATAGTCCTGCTTACCGCTTTCTCTGAACTTGGACTTGCCCAACCAGAATGACTTTTCAGAGCTTGGCTGTCAGATCATGCAGGAGCACTTCTCCCGTCTGCCTCGGATCCACCTCTCATATTCAGATGTGTGGCCAGCAGGATTTTTAATCCAAGCCCAGGCAGTTCTCTGGCTCATCTTCCTTATGCTCTCAGAAATACCCTAATTTTAAGTATAGCTCAAGGTCCCATAACCAGTCAGGTATGCCACACGGGTAATAGTCAGTGGCTGTGTGGCTCAGTACTGTAATAGTGAATGAGAAGCACCACTGCCTCTAAAAAGCTCACTCTGGTTAAGCTCCCTTGGAGAGCGAAGGGGAATATCTTAATCTTACACCACCAGCCTTCAGGTAATAAGATGTTGCCATATTTCTCCAGGATCTGTGTGCTTTTTGCCTCTTGGGGAAAGGCCTTGCTGACTCCCAGATAAAACAACTCCAGTGCTGCTGGCTCCTACTAGTGCTTGCAGCTTGTACTGGAAAAACACAATCTGTCCTTTTTATGCAGTGTAGCTCATGGCTGAGAGCTGGGGGATTGAAGAGTATTGATGCTTCTCAGTCAATGAAAAATAAGCTTTGATTTTTTTTTTTATTTATTTTCAGGTCTTATCTCAGCTGTCAAAATGGAGCTTGACATCCAGTGTGAGGAGATGAGCCCATCTAGATGGGCTGAACTTCTGTCCACAATGAAATCCTGCAAAACCATCAGGTAGTAACTAGTCACATATTTTCTCTTCTACGAAATACTGTGTTTCTCTCCTGTTTTCTTCAGCTGCAGAACTGTTGACCAGTGACTTAGAAATTGCACAGTAACAGGAATTATTCTTCCTATTTTCATCCTGAAAGTTAATTTAAATGTGGGTGGAACCACCCTTTTGCAAAGTTTTTCAACTACAGAAAAGTATCCTCTGGTATGAAGTAATGCTGCCCTTGTTCTAATGCATGCTGAGAACTCAGCCAGGTAATGTGGTTATCCAGGTATTTGACAACCATTTGTAATTCTGTCTTTCACTTTCTTCCTTTCCCTCTCTGTGGGAAGACATCTTTCTGTGCTCATTAGGTTACACACTCTGGGCTGCAGGTCAGGTGTTGTCAAGTAACTGTTAATAGTCACGCACAAGCCACAGCTTTTAATTCTTCACTTGGCCTTCAAAAGTATTGGCAGGAATTGTTAACTGGTGTTGAACATGATGCCATAGGGAGGTAAGTCTTCGTGCCAGAGGGAGGGAAGGAGAGTTCTACTAGAGCCTCAGTTTTCATAGTGTTGTCTAAGGAGAAGTGACTGGGCAACTCTTGGTAGTCCTGGCTGTGGCTGTCCCTGGGGCTGTAGGATTCTTCATCACACCTTCCTTTTGCCCCAAGTCTTTCCTGTCTCCCTGTACACTGCCCCGGCTTTCCTGAGCTCCCAATCCTTTCCTTGGCTCTCCTTTCAATTCAACTCATCCCTGTCAGTTTAGCAACAACTAGGAAAATGCTGATGTCCAGTGGGAGGAGCCACTGCCACACTGCAAACTCACAGTCTGTGCACTAAAAGACACTGGCTGGTGTAGCTCACCTACATGAGACCAAACTGCCGATGGGTGTCTCTGGGGCTGGCTGAAGACCCAGGTTGGCTGGTCTCAGGGCACAACTAGTCTGACAACTTATAAGCTGGCCTCTGGGTAGAGGCTTCAGACACCAGGTAGGTTGTTGCTATCAGTGCTTAAATGAAGGTGCATCCTCCAGATGAAGCCTTGCCAGTGGGAATGACTTGCATCATGTGCCCTCTTCTGCACAGCACAGAGGTCTGTGGCTTGGGGAACTGCTGCCCAGTCCCTGCTGTACTGCAGCCCTGCAGAGAGAGCGCATCTCGGTTTGGGCCATGCATCACCCAATGGGCCATGCACATACTTATGGAGGTATCCAGGGACTGCAGAGGAGTAAATTCCTCACTTTGCTTTCACAGACTGTGCTCCAGCCAGGGAGAACAGAGCAACCCTGAGGACTAAAATGCTCCTTTCCTTCTCTTTCAGGTTGGATGACTGCAATCTCTCCAGCAACAATTGTGAGGATCTCTCCTCCATCATCAGTACAAATCCATCCCTTGCAGAGCTGAAGCTGAACAACAATGAGCTGGGAGATGAAGGCATTGAATACCTGTGTAAAGGGTTGCTGATGCCAAGCTGTAGCCTTCAGAAGTTATGGTAAAGCCCTGCAGATTGTTTTGCTCTAACATGCTTGCAGTCTGCTGCAGGTGAAGTAATGAAGCAAACTAGTATGTGATGGTAGTAAGAGCCATGCCAATGCGCCTCAGCAGTTACCTAGGTCAGATGGTTGGAAATACGCAGGTGTTTTTATGTAAGCGATATGTTTACTGGAAGACTCCAGACCATCAGTATGTCTTCCTTTGTCTTCCAGCACCAAAAGAAAGATAGGTAGGGTTTTCCCAGCCAAGTGAAGGCTTTCTGGAGGCTTTGTTTTAGAAGAGGCAGATCTTCCCTAGGCCTAGGAATGGTTTATCTGTTTAGGCCAGTTTACACAAAAGGATGAACACAGAGGGGTCAACTGCCATTAGCACATACCTGACATTTTCAAAAATGCATTTTTCGGAGGCTTTTCTGCCAGTTGCATACACAGTGTTTAGCATCTGGTCCAGTTTGCTTGCTCCTTTCTCTAGGAGCTGAGCAAAAGGATGTTCTTGTGAGCCTTGGCATTTCAAAAGCTGTCAGTCTCTCTGTTCTGTACCAGACTGGCTCTCAGTTGGGCAGGGCCAGCTTGGTTTAAGACAGCATGTTTTGCAGAGGGACCAGCACCACATTGTAGCATTAGTGGGCTTTCCTCAGCAACCATGGTGCGGGAGCTTTAGTCAAAGCCAGTGGTTGCTGCCCCTGCTCCTCAGTGACACTCAAATTGATGCTTCCTTCTCTGTTCATACCTCCTCTGCAGCATACTGGAGTCCTCTAGATCCTGAGGTGGGCCTAGGATCTTCATGGCACTATCCTGTAAAAATAATTTGCCTTTTAGGTCTGATATGCCTGCTTCAGAGTCCCTGTGCCCCAACGATGAGGACTGACTGGCAAATAGAGGGGAAGTTGACAGTGAAGGTAGTCAAACTGCAACTTTCTGATGGGCCTTCAAGAAATAACCATGATCTTCTCTGCTGGGAGACTAGCACAAGTAATTTTTCAGACAGTTTGTCCTAAGCTTCAGACTTCTCCAGATGCTCAAGTAACAGCCTGGATTAGGCTGTTTCAGTTCTGTAGAAACATAGTTGTCCTTTTTTGGGGTTCTGGTAAGATGGCTTAAGGAATGAAAGAGCAACCATACCCAAGTCAAATTTAGTACTACATGCAGAACTCCTCTCCATTGCCATAAAGTCTTGTCTGATAACTCTAAACAGCCCATAGCAATACCAGTGTGGTTCCTATGTTACTACTCCCAGCCTGAGTGCTGAAGGATCAGCTTCATAGATCCTTCTTGTAGTATAACATTAAAATTCTAATGATACCCAGATTTAAGCCAAGTTGGACGAGATTTTTACTTTTAGCTACTCTGGATCGTATTTCCAGATGTGACAAGAAATTATAAGATGCCATTGTCCTCTTTCTGGGCTAAGCCTCATGATGATTAAAATGCGTCTATAAAGCAATTGCAGTGCTACTTAATGTAGGGTGGATCCTTCTTCTGCTAGAGATGCTATATGAGTAATTACACTGAAGGAAGCATGGGAGCTACAGGTATAATAATAGCTGATCAAATATTTTGGCACATCTGTAAATCAGCAGTACTAACCTGGACATGGTGCCTTTCTAGAGGATTAGGCACCCTCAGTGCCATGGAGTCCTTCCCAGGCTCAAACCTCAGCACATGCACCTCTCTGAGAAGAGCCTCCATAATTCCAGGAGTGCATTTCCCTCACCTTGGTTGCTTCTCTCCTTCAGGCTGCAAAACTGCAATCTGACCAGTGCCAGCTGTGAGACGCTCCGCTCCGTCCTCAGCGCACAGCCGTCCCTGACAGAGCTGCACGTAGGTGATAACAAACTGGGGACTGCTGGAGTGAAGGTGCTGTGTCAAGGGATGATGAACCCCAACTGTAAGCTGCAGAAGCTGCAGTAAGTAGTCACTGGGTTTTTTTGATCATCAGACAGATCATGTTTGTCTTTCCCTTGAGACAAGCAGGAGTTTTGTTGCCAGATCTGGATTTCTTCCTGTTTTGTCTGAAATTGTGTAATGTTTGTTCGTGCTGGTAGGTCTTGCGGGTTTGTAAGAGCTGAGTGTCTATTCCCATAGGCTTTGTTTAGCACTCCTGGCAGTGGTGACTGTTCATACAGGACCTCTCAGACACCCAGGGAAGGTCTGGTTCTGCTGCACTTGGTCTTTGTTTTATGTCTGAGCCGGATCCAGGCCTATTTGCAGCCCCCAGCTCTTCCTGGGAAGGCTTGGTGGGGATGTGTGGGGAAGGCTATGTGATGTGTTGCAATGAAAAACTCAGTCGTGCATTCCAAGGCAGCCTGTGCATTGGTGTAGCAGACGACTACTGTAAAAATGGGGCAGTTAATTAGTCTTGCTAGGGTCCCTGGGGTCTAGTTTAGGAATTAATGCTTCCTGAAATGAACAGGGAGGTGCTGTTAAAAACTCATTACGGTTACCTCTGTTTCCACGTGTTGCCTGTTCTCCACTCATGGTGGCATGTTTCCTGCCCTGGCTAACAAACACTTTGCCCAGCTGGTGCCTTGTGGGTAGCAGGACATGGTGAAGATGGTTGTTTTACCTCCGGACTTCTTTTCTTCTTGCAGGCTGGAGTATTGTGAACTCACAGCTGATATTGTGGAAGCTCTCAATGCCGCTCTGCAAAGCAAGCCCACCCTGAAGGACCTCACCCTGAGTAACAACACACTGGGAGATACAGCAGTAAAGCAGCTGTGCCAGGGCCTGGTGGAGGCAAGCTGCAACCTAGAGTTACTACAGTAAGGAAAAGCTGGCCGTCTCTACCTGCAACTAGTCCTGCTGCTAGTCCTACCTCCCCTAAGACAGGAAAAATTATTGTCAGGAATGCTTGAAATTCAGGGCAATTTTTTTGCTGGCTCAGGTTTCTGTAGTTGGAAACTGGAAGCAAATGTCTGGGGCTTTCATTTTGGGTATTTTTTGTCCTTTTTGTATGTAGCATGGGATTCTGAGCTTACTCTTATGCCTGTTGGCACAGTGTGAGCATGTACCCCAGGTTAAACCTGCAATTACAAGGGGTGACTGTTAGTATCTCAGAGCAGAGGAGCAATCGCCCTCAGTGGCTCCAGTTCTTACCCCTGAATTACCAGCCAGCTGAGTATATATATTCAGCTCCCCTTTTTGCTTCAAGACAGAGATGCTGGGTTTGGCCTCGTATCTAGGTTAAAGCCCCTGAGGGGGTTTAGGGGAGAAGCATGATTAATTTTATCTCATCCCTGTGCTTCAGCAGGGGTTGGGAGCCATGTACGCACTGCGTGATACAGCCAAAGTTCATCTTAAAAAGGACAATGAATACAAAGGGCAGTCTGGCGAAACTGATCCTTGCATTAATGGATGTGAATGGGTGAATCAAAGTGCCCTGCAGCCTCGTGGGGTGCAGGAATGGTGTGTTGCCTCACTCAGACCCCATCTAGGATACCTGTATCTGAGTCTTGCAGGGTCTAGCAGTGTCCAGCAAGGAACCAGGCCATAGACCCTCTTCGTTCTGAACTGGGAGTGTTCGGGTGTATCTAACACTGTGGGTCTGGAGCAGCAATTCCAACTGTCCTTTTTTCGTGCAGCCTGGAGAACTGTGGCATAACCAGCAATAGCTGTCGGGAGATCAGCGCTGTTCTCAGTAGCAAGTCATCACTGATAGATCTCTCTGTGGGGGATAACAAGATCGGGGACTCCGGTCTGGCTCTGCTCTGCCAAGGACTGATGCATCCTAACTGCAGAATCCAGAAGCTATGGTAAGGATAGGCAGAGGTTACTGAAATCCCTCTTGCGGCCTCTGAGCGACCTACATAGTGCGCCTGGTTTGCTCCTCAGCAGAAAGTTTCTCAATTACACCCCCTGGTGAAACAAGAGTGTCTCTACTGCAAATTAGTTCTCAAAATTGGGTGGAGGACAACATGTAAGAGCAGATCTGCACTGGAATCCCTTGGAACAAACTCTGAGGAGAGGGTGAATTGAAATTGGTGATGGCGTTGTCTTGGCTTCCTGTCGAGTTATCTGTCTGCTAGAATTGCATGTCCCTATTTCTTTCTTGTGAGCTTTTGGTGCAACAGATAGAACGTAAAGAGAAAAC